CTACTCCCCGAGTTCTCCCAGACGTGCCCATTTCCCAGTTAATCGATGTGAAGGCCATGCATCAGTTTCATGTACATACTGCATAATAACAATGRTTTAGCAATGATTTAGCTGGGGTTTGTATGTAATTCCCACTTGGTAAAGCAGCAAATGTGGTTGCAGAGTGACACTCTAGATTTCTTCCCTCTCTTGGTCTACGGAGTGAATCTGTTTTACTTTGTGAAGGCCTTGGCTTTTCCCTTCTGCTTAATGGAAGTCCCAGAGGACTGGCTGGCAGGTGAAACACAGTGCAGTGTGTAGGTGTGTGCGAGAAAGAAAAAAGGAATCCTGTTTAAAGAAAGGAAATTGCAGTTTTCTAAAGCCTGCATGGCAGGCTGTTAGCCTGGCCTGTCTTGGGTGGGCATGGGGTAAACCATAAATTTCTTCTTTTCAGTCATTTCTTCAGTTACTCCCTAAACAAAACTTTTTTTGATTCTTGACACTGTTGTGACATAATATGCAGTGCAGATCAAATAAGAATTTGAATGTGGCAATTTTGCCTTTGGTGCATACTTTTCCTGATCACAAAAATTACTTTCTCCAAAATTACTTTTGGGGAAACCTCCACCAGTATYGGGAACTTGATGACTTGATGTTTGTCCAGAGCAAGGGACTGAACCCCACCAAGCTGCTTGTTAAAGGAGGATCTTCAGAAAGTCTGGCAACATCTAAACCCCCTAGGCTCCTCAGCAGTCCAATCCTGTCTGTCTTATGCCAATTCCTCTCTGAAGGTTTTTCTTCAGTGTTATTTAGGAAGTTCAGCCAAGTTAGGCATCGCAGTGGGTGCAGATGGTCATTGCCGCTATACTGAGTGCTCTGAAGGCAAACACTTGAAGCCCATCCTCTTAGTATAGCAGAAATGTTGGTCTGAAAGTCCTTTTCCTGAGCTCAGCTGTTGTTATTGGGAGCAACCAGCGTTGCTGCTGTGGTTCTTACTCTGCCACTTTAATATTTGAAAAGATTTCCCATGCRGTTTCTAAGCAACATCCTAGATAATATATTTGTTCCTAACTGTCGTATTCACCCTATGATATATTCCACAGTCTGCTTTTAAGTTGGAATAAAATGTGTTCCTCTGCAGGYTTGTGGAATTAAGGAATATGTATTGTAATCGTCTGTCGGAGTTTTGGATTTTAAAACACTGCTGTTTCCATGTGACTGTATACTCATTTTCATGTAAGAAATCAATGCAACTAAACTCAGTGAGAGACCTTACAGAAGGACAGGAGGAAGTGGTATTTTCTTTTTCAGAATCTCTAGGTGAGTAGACTGCATGGTCACGCAGTCCAGTGTACCATCAGTGTGTATKCCGTAAGGGAGGATATGAGGAGGATGGGGCCATCCTCTTTTCAGTGGTGGCCACCGATAGGATTAGAGGATACAACCACTGAAGCATYGRAAGTTCCCCAGGAACTTAAGGAAAAGTTTCTTGACAGTGAGGGTGACAGAGCCCTGGAGCAGGCTGCCCAGGGAGGTTGTGGAATCTCCTTCTCTGGAGATATTCAAGACCTGCTTGGACACAGCTCTGTGCCATATACTCTAGGTGACCCTGTGTGTGCAGGGGAGTTGGACTAGATCATCTCTAAAGGTCTCTTCCAACCTTAACAATTCTGTGATTCTGTCATGGATTTTGTGCATTCATGCTCACTCACCCACATACCYGCAAGCACCCACGGTTGTGTGCATGTGGTCTGGCCAGGATCATTTATGTGATACTGAGGACACAAGATGATAGCCTCAGTCTTCATCCGTGAGGTTGTTCTTGGTAGGCAACAACAAACTAATTTTGGATTTGCCTCTCGTATCTTTTAGAAGTTGATGTCATTTGTGCTTTTTTTTTTTCTTGTCCTGCATAGTTCTCAAAAAAACTTCTGAATCTCACAGTTCTCTTTCCTCCTTCTGATATTTTATGACTACAGTCCTGTCCTTGTTCTTCTTGTTACCTTATCTTTAGGTCAGGTTGTTCCTCCTCCTTTTGTTAGTTGAGTGAAATCTCAGGTAGGGAGATCAGTAACAATGGACACATACCACTCCCTTAACCCTGATCTGCCACTCATGGTGCCTGCTCGCTCACTTGCACATGCTCACCCTCACACACAGGCACTTCCACTCAACCTTTGTTCATAACCCTTTTTAATACCTCTGTTATGAATTGCTGTATTCAGAGTCATGGAGAAATGTGTCTAGTTCCAATACTGACCCTTCCACATGGCAGCTTCTTGCAGGTTGATAGCTGACTTTATTTGAATGCATCCAAARGTCACCCAGAAGCTGTGCAACCAGAAATGCTCGATTCTCATGTAAGAAGGGATGCAGATGACACCAGCTCTGCCTGTTGCAGACCTGTAGGCCCTGAAACTGGTGAACATAGGTTGTATCATATTTGTAGTGGGATCACTTAAAAGCTAGGGTCCAAAAGTAGGGGTTTTGTGTTTCCTTTCCTTTGCCACGTAGAGAGGTTGGGTGTATCCAAGAACTTTCGATAGTGGTGTTCATTTCCATAATTTGCTTGTGTGAGACTCTGGTCAATAAAGAGTTGGGGTGAAAGCCTTTGCACTGGTGGGAGATCKGGAGTTCCCTTGTTGGATTTGCCTCGCATGGGTAAATCCCTGTCCTGCAGTGATTTTACATGGGTGGGTATTTTTGCCAGTGAGCTGAGTGGAGGCTCCGCCTGCGTATGTACATCATGCACCGATGGGAGCAGGAGCCCTGTCCTGCTGCTGAGGCTGGCAGAGCTGGAAAACCTTGACGGCCAAAGCCTTGCTAAAATCTGCAGCGCTGAATCCTTTATCATATAAAATTGATGCTGGAGGTTTTAGAAAGTCAGGAGGTTGTCCTAATATATAGAACCTTCCAGCAGTGGTGTGATATTGCACACACAGAGAACGTCTGCTAGTGTCCTAGTGTCGTCTGAAAGTCACACTCACACAGCTACAGCAGGGAGTTCKTTTTTTTTTTTTTTTTTTTTTGGTTTCCTATCCAGCTTTTCTAGAGGAAAGGGCAAAAATTGGTCATATGCGTGTGATGATCCATAGAAGAAAATGGATGCAAAGCAATCCCTGAAGTTATTTACTTTCTCTACAGGAAATAACTGGTGCATGTGGAGTTACATGTAGTGTGCAACATTAGCTAAAAAAATACAATTTTGTTATTTCGACATATCTTTCTGACTCCATCTAAAAGTTGTTCCCAGTATTTTTTTTTTAAATCTGATACCAGCCTAAGCAATGCAATTGCAATGCCAAACTTACCTATCCAATATAGACTTCCTGTTCCCATAGCAACACTCATCCTTGTGCTTAATGAAGGAACAGGGGAGCGTGAGTCGCTCTGACTTGAAGGCTTAGGAAAACAAACAGAATCACTTGGTATTTGAGGCTTAGAAACTAAAACGGAAGTGACCTCTTTGCATAGAACAAGGACTTGCCTAAGCTTGGCATACTTCATTGGCAGGAATAAAGCCATATTAATGTCATAAGAAGCTCTGTGTATTAATCTTGCTTTCCTAATTAAAATGTAGAAGCCTTTTATAGTAAGTGTGGGGCTTTGAGGGTTTTTCTTTTCTCCTTTTTCTTCCCCAAAGCTGCTGTATCTGTGGTTAAACTAGTGCAAATACGGTCTGCCTCACAAAATTTTTCTTCTCTATTGGCAAAAATCCATCCATAGTTGGCCAGGGAGGGGGTGGCAGATCAGTGTGGTGTGTTTTATTTTGTGTTTGATCTACAGGCTAGCTCCTGGTCAGCTAGTTTAATTCTGTRTTACAGTGATAAGTGCTGAACAAGCCAGAAATGAGAGCACAAACGAAGAGGTAGCTATTTTTGACTCTTTCTATTGTCTTATGGCTTTTCAATTGTAATTTTGACAGCCATTAAATTAAAATTTAAAGCAAATGTAGGAAACATTTAAAGGAAAAACAGCAGTGCTGACGGCAACGTATCGTGACATGTATGTTTATGAGCCTGTATTTATTTCTGTATCAGCTTGCTGATAGGCACTACACAATTCTTGTGTCGGTTTATTGTACTTAATTATTAATCTGTGGAGCTAAGTGTAGGGAAATGAGAAATCTGGAAGAAACAATCCTATTTTAATTCTTACTGGAGAAAAAAGTCATTTCTGTTAGAATATATTTGCACAAGGCAGTTCCATTTGATGCCTATTTCTACTGTGTTTGATTTATTTAAGTGTTTCTGATAAATTTGTCTTTATTTCAGAGTCTGAATAAATACGTGGCCAAAATTCAGGGGTTTTAATAAGGTTTTTATCTTCTGAATTAACCTGTCACAGGGCAGCTGAGACAACTGATGATAGTAATGATGGTGAATTGCCCTACAGCAAAAGGAGGGGTGGAGTGCAGGATAAAACAGAAGGATGGTTGAAGAAGATTGGTAACTGCAAAATAAAATAAAATAAAATAAAATGCAGAAAAACCCATTCAGCAAAATCCGTATTGAAGCTTTGAAACTGGCTGAGTTGCCTGTTAAACTGGTAGGCACGTGGCATCCCATAAGAGGTCGGTTGAGCGCTGTGCCCTTCTGTCTGCCTGACACCTTGATTGGGGAGGTATGTGGTGTCCTGGAGAACTGTGAAAAGGCTAGACCTGGAGTCATTGGGTTGTGTATTACCTTCCATTCACCKTTTCATAAATGCTTCTCTGGGTGCAGGTTAGAATAAGGTTTGCAGTTATGGTACAGCAGATCTCTAGGAGATGCAGTGGTGCAAAACCTAGTGTCAGCACCACAGCCCAGCTCATAATGAGCTCCTCCGTTGCTGCTAGGGTATGTGAAGCCTAATGACACAATGAAGATTTAAGTGGTCATACGTAACTTTGGTCAAAGGTCTCAAAGGATGCTTAAGTCCCTGCAAGTTCATGAAAATGGGCAGCTTGCCGGTGAGGAGATATTCTTTTAGTGCCTTCACTGATGGGAGGCTAATGCGTCTGYTTGTGCTCTGTGTTTCAGGGATAGAGCTGTGTCCTCCCGGGCACCGGTTCATGATCACAATGGTGGCGAGCTTCATTGAAATGGCAGGGCAGTTCCTCATGCCCGGGCTGGCTGCGCTCTGCAGGGACTGGCAGGTCCTCCAGGCTGTCATCATCTGCCCTTTCCTGCTGATGCTGCTGTACTGGGTGTAAGTATTCCTCCCCGTGTCAACACATGGAACGTGCAAGCCCCTCATGCTGGGTTTGGGAGGTGCTTTTGATGGATAAAGGCCTCCCTTTGATCTTCTGTTCACATTTTGCAGAGATGGGACTTTAGCTTTGTGCTCCAGGTTTGATTCAGCCAATACTGAAAAAAATAAGATGGCTTTTACTGGGGACAGGTACCAGATCTCTCTCCACCAGGACTTAACGCACCTCTCTAAAATCTATCTTTGTTGTTCTGTCATAACAGTGACACACAGTGGTGGCATAACACATCAGTGGCTTAAGAGAATGGTATCGTGCAATGCCAGAGCGGTAAAAACACTCTAGGTAATTCATTTTCAAGGTAACACTAGGCAAGATTAAAACATTGGTTGTTACACTCCAAAAAACAGCAAAAACAGCCATTGCACCACATGGAACCGAGTTGCACCTTGCTGGATCTTGTAACCTAGAGCAGGTTGCAACATGTAACTGCTAATTACAATATGTAATGATGCTTTATAGTTTTACTTTTTTCCCTTCCTCATGCACTCATTCTGGTAGCCCTCAGTGGGGATTTCTCTGTCTAGTCTCGAGCTCACAGGAGCAGACATATGGCAGCTAGGGCTACATGCAAAAAGCAGCACAGAGGAGAGAGGTACAAACACAAGAAAACACAAGAAAATGGCCATTTTTTTCTGTTTTCCACCATAAAACATCTAAATAGTATAATCTCATCAGTGTTGCCTTGATAATGCATAACCTAGGGTCTTCCTGCTTGGGCAAGGTGCACAAAGCTCAACTCAGAAGTCCCACTTGGGAAGCCTGCCACCTGAAGAGCAGTATAGCCACTGCTGGATAGGAGTCAAAATGGAATATGTACTGATGTTTGTATCTGAAAGGACAGGAAAATGGCATGGAGATGTCTAACAAGCATGATAGATTAATAGAGGATAGAGATAAGATACAAGATATATATAAAAAGATTAATTAGGATAGAGACAAGATAGGCTGCCCAGAGAGGTTGTGGAGTCTCCTTCTCTGGAGGCCTTCAAAATCCAATTGGATGCCACACTGTGCCCCGTGCTCTGGGTGTCCGGGTGTCCCTGCTGGAGCAGTGGGGTTGGACTAGATGATCTCTAGAGGTCCCTTCCAACCYTAACTGTTCTGTGATTCTGTGATTAAATGGACAAAAGTAACTCCTCAGCACTTTCATGGATGTAGCATGTTTCCCACATGCTGAGCCCAAATCTGATACATTCCTGTTGAAAGGTCATCAGGGACCTCTTCTCTGGGCGGCACTGTAATAGGTAGGAAACACTGGTATATGTTTTCCTAAGCCTGCACAAGCTTTGTGGCATTTTGGCTGGGCAGCGCAGAGAACGCCAATAGATACCACTTATATAAAATGTGACATGACAGCTTGATAATGGTAGTAATAGCCAAAATACCAGGATTTGCGTAGCTTGTTTTTTCTTCCTTTTTCTTTTTTCTCCTTCTCTTSCGTATTTGCAGAAATGGATTGTTTCTAGGAGGGCTATTTAATTGTGCTGCTGGTACAGCGTGCACTTTTCTCCTAGGCTTTTCTCTTCCATCTGTTGCATATTCTCTGGAAAGCACCACTGTTTTATTACTTCTCTCCTTTCATGCTCTCTTTGTGTTGAAGAATAGAGCAAGGACTCTCAGCATATGCCACAGATGGGGGAAAAAATTGAACTGATTTGAAATAAAAGAACTGGAAAGCTACMCCTCAGCACTGTACACTAGCTACTTGTAGAGTACCCAGAGCAACTAGTTCAATAATAGATGCTATCACAGTCTCCCATTCTCCCTCCGTCACCCTCCTGCTCTCCGTTTTCCTCTCCATGCTGGGCATTAGCCCTCTCCCTTCCATATATMAGCTCTGCTGCCAGGCATGTGCAATGAGAGGTCCCTAGGGTCCTAGGGTAGCTGAGCTGGTAGTTGGGCACTGATGGAGGTGAAGGGGAAGCAGATCTCTCTAGGAAGGAAGGTCTAATGGGCTGTGACATTTGGAAGCTGAGCTGATGCCCCTTCTCAGTTCTCAGGGAATTCTGGAATAGRAGAGGCACCGGCATAAGCCAGATGAAAGCGCAGGGGTTGGTGGCATGTAAGTCAGAACACATTAATAGCAAGTAGGCTCTTTTCAAGTGTTTGTTTTTAGATTGGCGAGGGAAGGGGAACTGCAGTTCTCCAGTTTTGCAGAGGTGTTATTTCCTCTGGTACACAGGAAGCTCCTGATAGGACTATGCCATGGATTCACATGTTTCTCTCTAAATAAAGTGAAGAAATGGAGAAGTATGGCTTGTACCTTTCTAATGCTATATGATAGGACTTATCTGTGCCAAGACACAGATCTATGGGTTGTAGACACTGGAATCACTTCTCTGGGGCAAACTTCTAATTTACATGTTATGTTTTTTCCATGGGCATGGGTTTGGTTTGCATCCAAACTGGAGCACAGTGGAAGGCTGCCAACCAGCTGTCCACAGTCTGCTCAGCTTGGTGATCCGGGAGACTCAGCAGCTCTGCCGCTTTCCCTCAGCAGAAGCCTTCCTCCTTTCTTTGCAGAGAGCACTCCAGGAGGAAAGACCACAAAATGAGAGAGTGAGGAGATGGAAGGAGAAGGTTGGTGTGCAGGAGACCATCTGGCCAGGCTGTGTGCTGCTTGGGTGGACTCGCACCCACCTAAGCAGTAGAGACAGGAGCAGTCAGRGTTTGCACTTGCTGTGTCTGATATCTTAGGGGTGAAACAGTACAAGAACTGAGCAATCCTTAAATGAACTTGCAGTGAAACAGGCAGAAGACCTGGGATTTCCTTACATCCAGTCCAGTAGGAGCTGAGAGGCAGGAATACCTCTTGTCCCAGCAGCTGGCACCATGATGACATTTGAGAGTGGCCGTTCCTTCCTTTCCTACAAGCAAGCAGCCCTCRTAGGTCTTGGCTGTATGGCCAGTAAGCCTAGATGCGTGTGAGCTTGTAATAYGGACTCTCCCCTGGCTTAGCAGTAAGAGGCAGGAGGGAAAGGATGTTTTCCAACCTTGTATCTCCTGTATTCTGGTTTGCATGGTGGACCTTGTAAAAAGTCCAAAAGTAAAAGCCCTTTCTCTGAAATACAGAAACATTGCCCCCATTTAATTTAGCATTAATAATGACCTGCAGACCAGTTCTTCAGAGATGGATATGTGACCCACTAGTCTTTTCCTGTGACCCCTTGATTTTTACATATAGTCCTTGCCATTTTGTACGTTAAAGATCACCCTATTAACCRGCTCATCTCAGACTTCAGTTTTCTTCCAGTGTTCAGTGTAGCAAAGTGAATCCAGACCTTTCCTTTATTGACGTTGCTAGAACTATCTCTGTGTTTGAAATGAGGCACTTCTATGATTCTATGATTCCATGAAATAATTGTAGGGTTAAAGGCCTTCTGAGTTAATCTGTAAGACACCTTTTCATCACTGGCTTTAGTAGCTACATTGTAAAGGAAGACACGTTCACCCATTCATCCCACTGTCAGCAGCTGCAGGTTTCACCACATCACTCCCTACCAGATCAGAAGCGCCATGGTTGGTTTGGTTGCTTCTGAAGGCTATCTAAAGCAGCACAGCTCACACTGGAAACCACAGTGAAGGATGAGAGGCAGTTGTGCWGTGTGTCCATTCCTAGTGACTGAGGCTCTCACAGAATCACAGAATATTCAAGGTTGGAAGGGACCTCTAGAGATCATGTAGTCCAACCTTCTCGCTCAAGCAGGCACACCTAGAGCGTGTGGCACAGGGCGGCATCCAGGCGGGTTTTGAAGACCTCCAGAGGTCTGGTCTCCTCTCCTCTCTCAGGAGCCAAGCGCTAAGATTTTCCACATTCAGAGAATTATTAATTTTTCAGAATATGCATTTGCAGTGCAGCCCATTCTGCAGGAGAGTGTGCCAAAGCACCTGTGCAGCTCCAGTGCAGTCAGTAAGCTGTCAAGCTGAATGGCTGTCACCATTGCTGTTATGTGTTGTTATTGTTTTAGATCAGTTGGATTACAGATTGGCAGACATCTTTCTCCTCTTTAAGAAAAACATTGTACTTTTTCCAGGATGAAGCTCTCAATAAGGGAGTTGTCCAAGTTGCATTAACCTTAAAAAGTGGTGTGTGATGGTATAACTGCCTGCTACACTGCTTAAAAGTGTAAGAAATGAGACAGCACCCATGGCAAAGACAACTGCTTTGTAGTGGAAATTTGAGATTCATTTGACGTTTAAAATAGTTAATAAATTGTTTGTTAGAAATTATTTTCAGAAGATCAGTGGAAGTGAAGCCCGAATAAGAAAGAGAAACACACTTGCAGACGTGTGTGGAAATGCCCAAACCTGTGCGAGTGTTTTGAGGGGATTGTTCGTTTGTTTTGGTTTAATATCTGCATATTCCTTTTGGTTGTGTKTAAAAATAAACTTCTTTTAAAAAAAAAGGCTGAGCAGTTAGGCTAGAGATTGAGGTGAGTCTTGGCACTTGAAGGAAATAGCTGCATGAAGAATACATGCTGTATTCTGTAGCTGTATGTGTATGTTTGTATTTTTAAAGTGACTCATAACATAATATTGTCTTTACTGGTGGAAAGTATTATAGCAACAGCTAAATGTGATCCCGAGCATACACAACACCCATCTGAATAAAACAATGCCTTGAAATCTGCATGTGAAGAATAAGATTTTYTTCACATGTTTAAAAATAATTTTAAAAAATGTTGCATTATAATCCTAAAAATAACTCTTCTCTATCTCCTCTCCATCTTTACAAGGGAATTTAAATCACTCCAGTCAGCTAGAGATTTTTTTTTGCCCTTCCTTGGTCTGAATTACTGTGTCTTAATTGCATAACCCATATATCCCTGCTTGGCAGCGTATATCTATTGCACACAGTGCTTCCTCCTTCTGCCAGTTCTATCAAAATTGTACAAATAGGCATAAACCTTGTAAAATGTTGTAGTATTCTAATATGGACTATTTCTAGATTATAAGATAGTACCTAGGTAAAAGAAAACATGATTAATTTGTATAGTGTGAATCTTTTTTCTGTTTGTTTTGTGATACTTCTGCTTTTTGAAAACAACACAGCACACAAGAAGTTAAATAAGACACGATCGGTATTTTCTCCAAGAGAACCGCAGCAGCGACCCTAACGTGTTTTCCATCTTTAAAGTATTTTCCCAGAGTCTCTCCGGTGGCTGATGGCTACACAACAGTTTGAGGCATCCAAGGAGCTTATCCTTCAGTTCGCTCGCAAGAACAGGATGAACACGGAAAGCGATATCAAAGGAGTGGTGCCCGGTGAGTAGAGCGAACACCAAGGAAGGCCAAGCACAGGAAACTGCTTGCTGTTCTCTGAAAGCCTCCACCAGGCATTACTGTCCCCAGTTAAATACTCTGCTCTCTGTCCATAAAATCTTCCTATTCATTTGGGTGGCTTTTGTTGAAAAATGATCCTAAATCCCATCACTGTGTTTGCAGCTCTTTGGCCAGTTTGAACACTCCTAGCAATTGAAGTCTTGCTTGCCAGAGATATATGTTTTTAGAGACATCTCTTGAAGAGTTTCAGCATGGCTACAAGTGCACCATTAGTACCTGATCCTTGAATGTATGCGTTAAGAATGCTCCTAATTGGGACTGTGATCATCACAAAACATTTATTTTTCTTGGTTTGGAGAAGTGATAAGAACACCAGTCCTATGACAAATCTAAAAGGGATTACAGACCTTTCTCTATAAGACATTTGACTTTTCTTTCCAGTAGTATTTGAATTACATAGTTTTGAGGAGTGGTGGAGGTCCCAAAAACAGTAGTGATATGGTGGAGTTTTTTGCTGAGAATCTAAATCATTGCTCCCTGGGTAACTGATGTTACTGATGATAAAAAAAAAAAAAAAAACCCTGGGTAACTGATGTTACTGATGATAAAAAAAAAAAAAAAAAAAAAAAAAAAAAAAGCAGGCTGCTGTAGTCACCGAGTTTGTCACTGAATCCTCGTGCTGCTGTCCCGGTAATTATTACAAATCAAGAGATTTTTCTGAAGCTCCTTCATCTCGCTGCTGCCCCTGCTAAATTGGGTTCAGGCTGCTCTTTTCCATCTCACAGATCTGACAGTGCCCATGAATACCTATTTAACAGTGCCATTTGTATTCTGTGTCAGACTGCCTCCTAGCCAGAAAACAGTTGAAATATTCATTTTTCTGCACATTTTCATGCCTGACCCCAGTGGTCGCAGGGAGACCTTGCTCGGTAATCTCTGCTCTCCAGCTGCTGTTACAAGTGAGGCTTTCCGTGCTTAGCTGGCACTGCCTGTCTAAGATCTCYGGAGTAATGTACCTTAAGATATGCCAGTGCTAAAGGTGCCTACCTGCACTGGAATAGATTTCACCCAGAATGCAAAATATTCACTGTTCCTTAATACAAAATTCACCATCCAAAAACTAGGTCCCAAAAACTAGGATGCCACTCAGCTGCCATTGACCTGGTAAGCCTCATCTCCTCCTCCTCCTGTAGTGCAAAGGAGGAGGAATTTGGGGGGAAACTTGTCTCCGAGGCAATTAAATGCCTTTCAGTTGGTCTTGGGGAGTCCCAGCCAACTCTAAATTTGGCCTTTCTAAGCTAGTCAGGTTCTTGAAATTACAGACAAAATAAATAAATTAAAATTAAAATAAATAAATAAATAAATAAATAGATTAAAGTACCTGAATTTCCTTTAAGGAAAAAAAAAGACACAGATATACAGCTATGTTCTGTGTGTTCTAGAGGGATTTACTTTTTTTAAGGCATTTATGCTGACACTGTCCATGGAGGAATGTTAAGTATCAAAATGGTTTTATGTCTATTATTTGTGACCAATTAAGTTTTCTAGCAGTTTCACGGTAGGGGTGAACTCCTGTTTAAAGAGAGCTCTTTGTTCATGTGGAAAACAGTATTATTTACACATCTTAATGCAATGGATTCTCTGCCTGCACCGATACATTAGCCCATGSCAGCTATCTGTACATTACCCTTTGCAAAATTGGAATACAGAACGTGCTTATTTCTGCCTCCTTGATGATGATATTGGGATTTTGGTTTTGGGGGSAAGTGAAGAAGGGAAGGGATAGGAATTTCCTCCTCCTCTTTCTCTTTTTCTGAACTCTCTCAGCAATTCCACATGTAAGGCTTTTCTGACCCAACTTCAGGGTGAATTTTTGTAGGGGAGGTGAGCAAGGAACAGCACCAAATGGATGGGATCAGCTTTAGAACTAGAGATTTTGGAAGGGCCTTCTCTCTCATTTTGGGTACATCGGAGTGTTGATAGTTTGCATAAGGATTGTGGAGAGGGAGAAAATCTAAATGAGGAGTTTGATCAAGCTGAAGGCCAGATGTGTCTCAGGGAGCCCATAAGCAAAACAAAATGTGCTTGTGTGTTATAGTCACATATGCATAATTGTAGTAGGAAATGTGCAGAAACTTACACTTGTATGCAAGAAAAGATGCTTGATTTATCTTGGTGCAGATATCTCCTCTGTTGAGTTTTCCTGTCTATGTGGAGGGTTTTTTGTTTGTGACTGTTTTATTCTCTGTTTTCCATCTGCAAAGGCTGCAAATTGTTTTGCTTTAGTTAGGGTCCATTGTGTTGCCATTTACTGATTCACTGCATTGTCATAATAGCTTCATATGATTGAGTTACTCAATACATTTAAATGATAAACTGCTTCTGTACAGCCCCTTCCAGCTGGAAACCCTCTTGTAATTGTACTCCTATGAATCAGTCAAATTAGTATATCCTAGATAACAGATCATTATAGGAGTTACAGTAGTTGCATGTATGCCCATTTTGGCAGCTGATGAAAGTTCCATAATAAARAGAACTAGGACTGAAGCGGGTGAAGTACTTCTGGGATGGAAGGAAAAGCAATTTTGTGGTGCAGTCCAAGCAAAAACAGGTTTATGCTCCCTTCTGAAGAGCCACACTGTTCCCATTGCCTGCTGAGAGCTTCTCCTGGTCCATTTGGTTATTCTACCCATAGCCGTTTTGCCATGAGCTTTCTGTAAAGCCTGTTTGCTTCGCAGAGAAATCACCCACATGTTGAGAGGAAGGAAAAGAAAGCAAAATTATCTGATGTCTTTGAATCAACCCATTAGATAAGAGCAACTTGCAAGTAGTCTTCTAAGAGGTGTCTCTGGAGAGAACAGGAAGTCCTGCCAGGGGTCCGGGTGCCATCCAGAGGGCCAACACTTGTGATAACCTTTGTGTCTGTAGAAAATCAGCCCGGGCAGCTGATGGGCATTGCTTGGCCACAGAGATAGCTCAGGAGAGCTGGTGCACTAGGGACAGGTTAGAGCAATACAAGGGATTTTATCTTGATAGTTGAGTGACAGCAATTAACACTGGCCTTTTCTTCACAGTGCAGTGTCTGGTGTTAGATGCAAACACAAGGARAGTTGTCCCCCTAGCAGGTTTATTTCTAAATGATTGACACATTTTTGATTTTCGCTAGGAACAATTTCCTCCGTGAAGAGTTTTTTGCTTTTATGCAGCCATCTTTTCTTTCACACTTAGGAAGTTTAGGTGTAGCAGTTAGACCTGGCTAAATCATCTCTAGTGTTTTGAATCCCCAAACTTTTACCACTTGTGTAAACCTTTCACCCTCTTTCAGAAATAAGTATCAACTTGTTTTTGCATCAAAATACTGACTTTTACCCAACTGCTTATCAAAATCTATTTTTAAAGCATCCTAAATTTCTTTGGCAACTATTTCAAAATTTTACCCCCAAAGGTCAGCTTTAGTCATATGAAAATTGATAATTTAGATATACATAACTCAGTACAGACTTTTCACTGCCGGTTTCTTCAAAAGCTTCCTSATCCCTTCTCTGTCTCCCTGTAAAGCAAGAAAAAACACACATTTAATGGGGCTATAAAGCAGTCATTTTTACCTGAGCCAGAGCACGTCTTAGAAAAGGTGTRGAATGGAGATTGAATCCAAATGAATGGGAGAAAAGAGTGTTGAGGGGTTTTGGAAATCCCAAAGCAGCAATTAGCCCCCCACACCATTTTAAAGGAGTGTATGTGTAGTAGGTTAAATGCCTGCTGTGGTGTTGATGGACCCTTTTATTTTCCCTCCTTTTGGGGTCAAAACTTTTTTCTTACTGGAACAGGTCRGCTGCTGCAAGCTGATCTCCATCACTGTATTTGGGTGCATTTTGCAACGTGCAACTTGGAAAGTCCTATCAGTGTCAGCCCAGAGTGTCAGACTGGATGCTGCCACGGAAACCCTCCCTTGTGTGGTTTTCATTGTGTCTGAGTGTGTGAGGGGCATTGCAGACATTCCTTGCCAGAAGAGTAATTGCCTGGCCAGGCTGAGTAACAAAGCCCTATTTTTGCCTCTCTGTAGAGGAAAGCACAAGCTGCAACGCTCCTGTGAGCGTGCAGGATGCAGGCATTCACTGCTAAGCAGCAGCCACTCCAGGCAGGGAGTCACAAAAACACTACAGAAGGGAAAAATATATATATTTTTTTCATATAAAGGCAAAAGTGGCCACAAAGATCAAGCATGTAAGGAGACACAAAATCTTTTAAAAGGTAGAATACATTCGGGAGAGGAAGATGGGGTGCAGTGATGACAAACTCTGTGAGTGTATAGGTTGTAGTGAAGCAGGCTGGGATTTTCAGGGGSTTTTCCTTTAATGGAAAAAAAAAAGTCATTCTTATTCACCTTTCTTGCTCTTGAGCCATATGCTGCCATGATTTTTTTTAATAATAAAAATTCCAAATTTGTTTTGCTATATATTTTTATTTATCCTARCCACAAGGTTAGATACAACCTAGTTGCCTGCTTTTTTTTAAGTAGATAGAATGCAAAGGGAAGGAGGAAGAGGCATTAGGTCTCACAGTCAGTCTCTTTTTTCCTTAATAAATAGATGAACTGTCTCAAACCCACAACTCTCTTGAACCTGCAAACCACAAAGTTGCTACTAGGTACAAATTTCTTGATCATGCCCCTTTATCAGATCTGTTTCCAAGGTGTTTAATTGCGACAAACTGAAGTGCCTCATGCTAGTCTCAAGGGTAAGTGCCAGAAATGCAAGTCAAACAGTTCAAGCTGCTACCTCAATGCAACCTGTAACTCTTTAAGGCAAAAGACTTTGTGTGGAGAGGGGAGATGGAAGAGATTTCTGTTTCAGAGGAACAGCCAGAGGGCAGTGATTTAAGTTGCACACCTGTACATTACATTAGTATGAGGTCTCCTGTTACTCTTTATCCATCAGTGGGAACTGTTAAGGTTTGTGTGATTCCTTGAAGACATGAGGTACACAGTAAAGACTGCAGAATACAACTGATGAGTTTGAGTCCTCCTATGCTAGATTTGCTGAAATGAGAGAAGAGTCCATCTCTGTGCTGATTGTCCCAGGTGAGAATGGCARTGAGCACTGACAATTGCAGGATTTGGAGGTAGCAGGGTAGAAGAGATGTCTCCACTGAATATTTGCTTTTCAATGAGACTAGGAAAAGCCAATATGTTACAAGCATCTTTTTATTGCATAAAAAAAAGTCACTCTCTATTTAAGCATGACTGAGTCTTTCTCAGCAATTCAGTCCTCTGCAGACTCATCGCTGGCTGTTCTCCAGCCTATCGCAACTCCTTGGCGCTTCCCTGGCACAGTGGGTCTGTGTTAGTCCTTTTCTCCTGGCGGAGCTGCTGTTGTATGGCAGGAACTGGCACACAGCCTAGAGGGCTGCCAGCTCGCCCTGGTGCTAGTGGCACTCCTGTGGCCCACGTGCGTGAAGAGGGGGAAGGATGGGTTAGTTCRGGTGCAGATGTGAGGAAGAAGGGAAGCCGCCCAAGGAACCAACATGAGATGGAGAGGAGTAGCAGAGACAAGTGATAGAGAAGAAATAAAGAAGAGAGTGAGAAGAGAGGTAGAAACCCAGAAATAAGGATAGCTGGAGGGGACTTAGAAGGGCAAAGTTGGCAAAGGACTGGTGGGTAATTAATGGTTGTGGAATAAAGAAAGAGGAGAGAACTAGAGCAATGAGACCACTGTGACCGTGACCATTAGTTTCCATCTCATCAAGGCTGGGAATTCAATATTTGCATTCTTATACTGCACAGTCTACTCACAAAAATATGCCCTTCATCTCCCCATACGACCTAATTCAAGTACTGTTTCTGCTGTGCTTTCCTTTATAACTTCCCTGGTATTCAGCAGCAAGGTAGCTGTAGGTGTTCAAAACCTCCGATGCGGTCCCCCACAATGCCATCAGCGGCATTCTTTGTTTTTTAAAGGGTGATAACTTTAGAAGAACATGAGAATTGCCCAGTCAAGCACTCAGACATACAAGAAGTCAGGGTGCCTGGGCTTGCCCTGCTGGCATGGAGGTGTGCTGCTAGCCTTTGATAACATGACTACGACCTATTTTTTCCACAGGGCATAGGATGGACGAATCAGTGAATAGGATGGACGATGCTGTGGGGATGAAGCTGTTGTCTGTTCCTCATTTGTTGCAGAATTTGGAAGGTGTGTAGTGAATGAGGCACAGGGCTGCAGAAAGGAGGARGACAGTCTTGGGGAAACGAAGCTGAATGACTCCTGAAGAGCTGAACTCGTTCCCTGTGTCTGCCAGGGTGTTCTGGTGCCATGATGGGAAATTCCCTGAACTCAGACTGTTTGAACATGGTCACTAATCACAGTTTCTTCAATGTCTATCTCAAGCATGTAATTCTAGGGCTTGCTTGATCTTAATCATTTATATTGGCACCTGCCATGGGTGTAAATAGTAATTTCTGCAGGTGCCAGAGATTCAGGGCAACTCATGATCTGTGCTCCTCAAGCTATACTCACAAAATCACGGGATGATTTTCTTATTCTAGTCACAATTCCTTTATATTATATTATTTCCYAGTGTACAAAATAGGAATAATCATTGCTCTTGCTCTTACAAGAAAGCAGTGGAGATGCTTTCATTGATATTTATGAAGTACATGAATATTCTGACAGCACCGTAGGAATGTCTGTGAGGAAACCTGTGATTTTGTATTCACCGTGAGGTGTAGATAGTAAGGCCACATGCTGTATGGGGAAGTTAAAGAGACCTTATTAATTGCTGTCCATTTGCTGACTACATTGAGCGTTCTGCGGGGAAAAACTAGTATGTGATCATTTAATTAAATACTGTATCATGATGCATATGCACAACTGAATATTGCAGCGGCATCCTTATGTCTCACATTTCCTACATTCCTTGAGTATAATTAGAAATATAGGACCAAAACAAATGATTGCAGTCAGCTCTCTGCTATTACAGTCACCAAGTTATATAGTTGCCTTCATGAACTGAGCTTCATCTTAAACACTGTGTGATTTCTTTCCTTGCTTCTGCTGGAAAGCTATTTCAGAATCCAAATTGTTCTTCTAGTGCAGCACGTATTAAAATTCAGCTCAAATTTGTTATAGCTGCCTGGGTTCTTTCTTCCTATTTGCTCCTATTTCATGGGTATCTATATTTAAAGCATCTTAGTCGCTTTTCCCTTGCTGTAGTAGCAGACAGCAGTCCTGGTGTGCTGGAGTTCTCCTCTGTTTCCTCTCCTTTTATAGATAGGCTTGCCAAGGCTTTAGCTTCCTAAATACGGATGACTAGAATTATAATAGAATTGCCAGAATTGGAAATACCTCATGATATGTCTATCAGACTGGTGTCTGAGAGTCATTTGTAATCAAGTAGTATATAAGCAGGTACACACAGTATTTACTAAAACTTATTTTCCAGCAGAAGCATATGTCATTAGCCCCTGAGTGCCTTACCTTGTATTTTGCATTTCGACTCCTTTTTTGCCACTCTAGTTTCAAACTCACTCTGTTTTCTGCAGTGTCCCTGTTCTCTGCTGTATTTCTGGCACTGTCTCGCTTTGTCCTAAGCAGACTTCAGTGGCACATTCTTAAACTTTGTCTCCTTAGAGATATTATTAAACAAAATTGTTCTTTTTTTTTGGAGATGTGAAACAAGTCACCCCACCAGTAACCTCCTTCCATCCTATTGTAATTTCCATTTTTTCTATCCCTTTTTGCTGTCTATCCATAAATAAGTTCCTTACCTGCCTCATTATTTCCATATATGCTATTGATACCCTTTACTATTCTTTTAGCATAAGGCTTTTCAGAAATACAATGTACCAGGCTGCTACTCCTCTGCAATAAATGAGCACAAAGGGAGTTTGTGGTGACGACAAGCCTGGAAGGTGGAAATAACCCTGTGTACCAGTAACTTGGTGTGGCCCTGAGCAGGTTGCTTCAAGTCTCTGCATTTCGGTCCCATCTACCTCGTGCTGCAGAGGGGCCGTGCCCTGGGGAGTGACTGAGCCTCAGCTGTGCTTCCACAGTGTGTTTCACGTTGAAAGAGCTCCTGACAGGAACATTTAGGACAGAAAAATGCAGCAGAAGTCCATCACCACGGGACGCTTGTCATTTTGGACATACTTTTTTGGCAGCTTGCTTTGAGCTTTGTCTGTTTTGCCTTTGTTCAAGTAGCGCGGAGATGGGTGGCTTCGTTTGAAGGCTTAAAGTTATTCTATGATTTTGAAAGCCGTGGTCCTGAAACGCAGAGAAGCCCACAAGAATGCAGCAGCATTGGGAGCGGGAAGCTGATAGGGTTCCCCTCCCCRTGAGACTTTTAAAGTTTCCCACTGAATAGTTTTTATTTCCACTGATATATAAAGAGTTAGCTTGTTGACAGTTTTCCTACTGAGCCTCTGAATGGGAAGCTTAGAGTGTGTGTGGGCCCTGGAGTATGGGAAAGCTCATAATGGGCCTCTGAGTAAAAGGATAAAAATATTTCCTATTTTCCTAACTCACTGTTCTGGTAAATCAGTCTGAACTGAGATGTTTAATGCAAATTCCTTCAGACCTGGTGAGCTCAGTGCAGAACCAAAAAACAAGTTGAGGGTGAGGGGGAATTTTCCTGGTGATATTCCAGTAACTGACTGAGAAGCAGTTTGGTTCTGTGTGGTTTTGTTAGACGCTGGCTTAACTTTTCTTTTGAGATCTTAACGTTGACCCATGAAATTCAGATGGCCGGAGCACTGGCTGACCTGTGGGCAGGGCTGTCTCKCTCCTGAGGTCCCATCACAGGGGGATGCAAAGCATCTGCAAAGCAGACTAGCCTCAAAGACAGCACACAACTTAAATGAGAGCCAGTGCTGTCTTGTGCAAGTCATAAAGTTTATTTGTTGTTATATAAATGATATTTTGATTACTGCTCATTGATTTCATGGTTCTGTTCTGGAGAACATCTGACTGGTAGATAMAGAAATGAAGGACAGGGAAAGTTATCAGAAAGATGGATGATGTTGGAGACGTGGGGGGAGTCATTCATCTGAAGCAGGTGACTTGTGCAAAAATTGGGTGTTTTAACATATCCTAGAGGGAGGTAAAAAAAAAAACTGGTGGAGCCAGAAGTCTTTAATGTGCTATTGCATTTTGGGGGAGTGTAAAGCTTGAGGCAGCTTGTACAAATATGTTATTATTATATATATGTATTATATATAATTAAATATAATTATATTATTTATTATATTGTACATTTGTACAATATAGATGATTGTATAATTACATATTTCTATTGTATAATTATATTTTTATTATATAATTATATATTATCCTTTTTTTTAAACATTATTTTAAGTGCAACTACATCTGGGATCTCCTTTGGACATTTTCATATCGTGATACAAGCACAACCCAAATTAGAGAAGAGGCAAGAATCTATTGAAGGGAGAGGCTGTGGGAGATGGGGTAGAGAAGAAGTAAAATTCCCCTTCTGTGTATAATCCATGTTGCTGGTGAATCAGAGGATGTATTTGCCAATTCACATAGCACATAAATTATCTTTTACATGGGAGTAGAACAGCATGTTAGGGAAAAAAAAATCTAACATAAATTGGTTTGGAAAGAGTGAATTATATAAAATACTGAAAGAGGTCTTGAGTGCATATGAGAAGGATGTGCAACAGTAAATAAAATACATACAGATTGTACCAATAGCTGACATAGGAAAAGAGGAGGACTTGAGAATTGAATTATGTTTAGCTGGTATGAGAAATGCAACTAAATTAAATGTTGTCCTCATTTTATTAAGTTTTGGCTCGATAAAGTACATGATGACAGTAAAATCTACTGCTTTTCCCCAAAGAAAGAAAGAGAGAGAGAATCACAGAAATCCAAACCTAGAGAAAGAAAGAAAGAGAGAGAGAATCACAGAAATCCAAACCTAGAAAGCCCTAAGAATATGGCTTTGGGGACAGTCTTGGGCTGACACTAGGGATCTTTTCTTTGAAAGTCCAGATCTGGACATCCTTAGACAGTTTGAGAGTTAACCCTTGSATGTCCATGTGAAATCTGCACAAAAAGTCCTGTTTGGGGTTTGGGTGGTGATTTTCTTTATTTCCCCCCAAGCTGAGGGGAGGAAGCAGCTTTTCCCTCCAAGTAAGTTGTCATTTTGGTTTTTTTTCAAAATTATTTACTTTTTCTAATACTTAGTTTGATTTTTTTCATTGTAAAAGATTTGCTTTGGACTCAATTATTGACTTCACAGCAATGTCTCCTCTTACTGCTTTAGTTGTTCTGAATTATTTTGTTACCACTTACTCCTTTCCAGAATTATGCTACCAAAATCATTCTGACCTTGCTCTCTGAGATTAGGTATCATCTTTTTTCATTGCCTCTTTTTAATTCAGCATTCAGCCCCAGTCTAGTGCTGGGCCTGCTGATTGCTCCTGTATATATTAATTTGACCAATTTCCTCTTTACTCCATTTCTATTTTTATGCTTTTGTGAGATTTGTGCTGCAGAGATTTTGGGAGAATGGATGTTTTCGGGTAGAAAGAGAAGTAGCAATATCCTGCTTAAATAGAATCACTAGTGTAAATTATCCTTTATTTCCTTTCCTACAAAAAAAAAAAAAAAGAAAAAAACCTACATTCCCTGTAGTTCTGTATAGAAGACCAAAGTGACCTGTGAGCAGTGAATAACAGTGATTTGCATCTAAATAGTCTTCCTTTCATTTATTATTTTATGATACGATTTTCAAACAGCAGCAGAAAAACCTGTCTTTCATTTTGCTCCTAAATTAGGACCAATCCACTTCATTTTTTTTTCCCCATGACTTGCCTTCATTTTCCCCTGTCTTGCACCTCCTTAAGAGATTCCTGCTTTAGGGGAGCAGAGCAGAGGCTGGGGCAGGCTGGGGCAGCCAGGACGGCTGAGGACACGCAGGTTCATTGCATATGTATGAGGGGGACGACTACARGGTCCAGAACAGAGCCGTGTTGCAGCCTTAAAAGCTGTTAGGCTGGAGARCAGCGCTCCAAGGCCTTGCCCCCCACAAAAAAAAAGCAGTTCCAGTTGGTACCGCTGTTGTGGTGTTTCTTTATAGACACAACTTCATACAACCTGTTGCTCKAATAGTGCTTACAGCTCCGCAGCAGTTGGAGGCTATAAGGTTTTATCTGTGAAATGCAAAGAAGTCATTGCTGATGACCCCCAGGTCTCTCTCTTTAAGATAACGTCTTCTGGTTAAGACATCCATCAACGTGTTTTTTTCTCTTCTTTAATATTTGAAACGTGGGAGGGAAGAGGATGAGTTAACAGAATGTTCTAACCATTTCTTTCTGAAACCCTTTTTTAACAAACTTTGAAAGATTCCCACACAGGAAAGGTTTGARTTCCAATCCTTCCCGTGGTTTTTCAGACCTGTATTGCAGAAGTGCTACAGGCCTCGTAAGGAGCCTGARGACCCTATTTGAGAGGGGATTTCACCCAAGGGCAAAGCTGCTTTTGAGGTTTTAAAACTTAGCAGATGCTCCTGATGCTTTTCAGATAAAATGGTATTATATTTGCCAAATCTTGTTGTCCTTCCATTGCATATAGATGCTTTAGACTGGGGGAAGATTTGAGATCTGAAAGAATTACTGGGTAAAAGTTATTGCTGTAGGAAGCCTTGGAAGAAGAGGGAAATCTGGGATGGATTTTAAGCGGGCTGTTTAGCACTTTTCTAGCTCCTGTTAGTGCAATGTATCATGTCGTTCTTACTAGAACATTCCTGAGAATATCTATAGTTTACAGACTAAGCTTCTCCCTTCCTTTGCCTCTGTGAAGGAATAACTTTGGTCTGGTTTGTTTCAGAGCTGGAAAAGGAGCTCACCAGGAGACCGAAGAAGGTCTGCATCGTGAAAGTGGTGGGAACCAGGAACCTGTGGAAAAACATCGTAGTGCTGTGTGTGAACTCGTAAGTCTGGCACCGTTCTGTTAAAATATTTTGGTGGGTGGTGAATGGAAAGCAGCGGGGGGAGCTCTGCYCTTTCTTAGTGGGTCCTTTAACCCATGCCTCGATAAGGGACCCTGGAAGAGCAACAGCTGTGCAGAGGTGGTGGGATTTCGTGATGAGGATGGGTTGGTTGGTTTGTTTAAGGAGGTCATTGGCCATTTGAGGAGGTGGAGCAGCAGCAGCACTGCGTGTCTGCTGTGTGCCCTAGCAGATGTCGTGTTGCCACGTGGTGCTTCATGCTCACACAGACGTCTGCTGCTGGCATCCTGGGTGGGATTTCCAAGGTCATTAATGACACAGGAGCATGAGTCTCACTTGTTTACCTCTGATACAGCCACAGTGCAGAGGAAAGTGTTGTCTTCTAGTACGTAAAAGCCTGTCCCTTGTGTAACAGCTATCCTTGGCATGTCCTCAAAAAAGGGCTATGAAGGACTTGAGCTCTTTCACAACAAGTACAGGCCACAGGGAGGATGTACTGTCTCCCACAGAGCAATGTGATACCTGTGTCCTAAGGTTTCAGCTTGGTTGTGCTTAAGCATACAAAATCAGGCATCTGYTTAAGGGTTTTGTAGATTCTGGACTCTGAGACCTGTCAAAGACTGAGCACAGGGTAAGAAAGAAAATGGATCGGCTTCAAATTCATCCTCTAACTGATCCCAGCTTCCAGGAGGAGAGGGAAATTTCTGATTTTATCATCACATAAAATACCAATTTGAATTGCTTTTATGATRTTTTTCAAGAGGGAAATGGGAGAGGAGATTGGGAATTCTTCCATTGGATATACAGAAAGGCATCCTCGCGCTCTTATTAAAAAGTGTGTTGCTTTCTCTTGACCACATTTAGGGCCCTGGTCTGTGGTCCTCATTGCTGAAAATAGGCATACAGATCAATCATAACCCACTAGAGACTACCCATGTGCTGAGTAGATGTTCCCCGAGAGGCACCATGTTGACTTCAGATCTCTCTTCAGCATATCTGTTGCCAAAAAACTCCTGCTCTTATGGCTTTGTGTTGCTCTTTTCCAGCTATTGCAGGGTCACTTGGCATGTCCTGAGCACTGTGTTGCCCTTAGGTTGAGCTCATAGATTTAGTAGCTAGTACCAGCTTTATTTATGAATAATATTTATTCAGGGAATTCTCCCCTTCTGCCTTTTTAATTACACACTTTTGGAAATTCCCTAAACCGGAACTAGACAGTCAGAAGAATAATTTCTGGCAATAGTACATGGATTATGTTTGCTGTCCAGATAGAACATGAAGCAGATGTGTGTTTGAAGAATAGCTTTCAAGTCTGTTTTTAGGGGGTGAAAAAGCCTATTTCATTTTAATTYGGTCATTCCTGTTACATTGGGCTGTGCTAAATTTTAGGAACATGAGGAAGGAACATGAACCTTCCACAAGGAATAATGAGGCATTAGAGGAGATAAAAGTATTTAGTTTTAAAAGTAGCTTCTGAGCTGCTCAGCAAGTTAAGACAATAGAGTAGCTCCTGGGGAGAGCTGAGTGCGGATGATGTATTAATTCAGCTTATAAAAGATAGCCCTAAAAATCATTTCAGCAAGTGTGTTTGCATGCACAGAAGAGATATGTTACTATATTATTAAATATTGCATTTTACTGATTAATATTTCTCTTACAGGAGGAATTGGTTATTATCTAGGCATCCAAAGCAAATGATGGTTTTGCATAAGAACAACCAGTTACATTGTTTTTGTTTTGTTTTGTGGGGGTGCACAGAGGGATGCAAGTTGTTTTGAGAGTGGGGGAAATGCTGTTCTTGAATTATAGCATTAACTCTCAAAATCCCAAGCAAAATTCTCCAGGCACTCATCTGTCATGCACTCAGCAAGGTGAATTCCTCCGTTTTTTTCCGTGTTTATATTAATATCCAATTTGCACTGAAAATGCTTAATACCTGATGTTTGGGAAGATAGAGGTGCATCAGTGTAAAGTACCTGACATTTATCCATTTATTTTTCCATTTATCCGTTTATCCATTTGCCTCTGCACCTGCATCTCCATGAGGCACARTTGGTTTGTCACATCAGTTTGCAGCCGTTTTTTTTTTGGTCTAAATGACACAGACCATGTTGGGGTCACTGTGGGAGTCTCCTGTTGAAATCTCCTATCAGCTCTGCAGATGTAGTGCAGATCTGCACCATGCCAGGCACAATCCTGGGGCTTATAAGTATGGTATAAGCATGTTGATTGAGATAGGGCTGATTATTTCATGACAGTAATAATCACTGCAGTGTCATGTGTCACTTGAAGGGCRTACTTTTAATGGGTTTTCATATGTAACAGGTAAACTTGGGGAGTGAGATGCAGTCTTTAGGATGACTCAATGCCATGGGCAGAAAGGCCTTTCTGCAAGTTATATTTGTGTTTTTGTGTTGTGCTGGGTTTTTGCTGTCTGAGCACACAAGTTGCTTCCTAATAGCAGCTCTAGTTCTGTTGCCATCAGTGGGTGTATTGGGAGTAAAGGAATTCTTTTTTTTTCTTCTTTTTTCTTTTTTTTTCTTTTTTGCTTTTTTCCTTTTTTCTTTTTATCCTGTTTCCCCTAGGCTGACTGGTTATGGGATACACCACTGTTTTGCAAAAAGTATGATGGGTCACGAAGCAAAGATGACCATCACCCAGAACTTCTATGCGGACTACTACACCATGGCAGGGATTGCTCTGGCCTCCTGCCTGGCCATGTGCCCAGTGGTTGGCTTTCTGGGGAGGAGAGGAGGACTCCTGCTTTTCATGATTCTTACAGCTCTGGCATCGCTTCTGCAGCTTGGCCTTCTCAACTGTAAGTGGAAAAGACTTTTCAGAACCACGTGAGACCTTGAGTTCAGCTGGTCCTGCTTGATATGTGGGAGAAAATGGTCATAAAACTGTGGCAGAACAGTCCATCAGTGATAGGGAGAAACGCTCTATGAGAATCTTATACAACCTCTTCCTTARTGGTTTTCAATGTTTCCTCTTAGCAAAGCTGCTAAACTTAGAACAGCCAAGGGCCCTAGGTGCTTTCTACTGTGTTGGCAATTGGACTTCTCAGAAGTGTCCTGTCAACCTCCCCTGTTCCTGCCTCTCCCATTTCTCTCTGAAAGGATGAGGGAGAAGCAGCCCTGAGTTTCAGAGAAGCTTGCTTCATCGCGGGATGTAGATCATTCCCCACTTCCTCCTCCAAAGAGCTAGACAGTGTGTGGAGAGCAGCGGTGACCCTGCTGATTGTGAAATCTGTTGCAGCCTCATGCCTGTTTTAATTTAGCATAATTTGGGAGTAATTAACAAATGAAATGAGGGTTGGGGAAGATGGGGAAGAGAAGTGTATTCTCTGTCAGCAGCRCAGAACAGACCTTGAGGCTCATTGTGCCCAGGGCTTCTTACAGACTCCAGGTTGTCCCTGGAGTTGCCCGAGGCCTGTAGGGAAATCTACCTGCCAGGCTGCCCTCGCCAGCTGTCGCAGCGGCCTCCGTGCTCGCTGAGCTAGCGAGCTCTTTGCAGCTAGGCCTTGTGGCAGCCTGTCACTGGGTTGACACACCGGGCATCAGCTCTGCGCTTCAGCAAGGAGGAGGTCCCTTAGCAGGGCAAGRATCCTGATTCCAAGAGTTTTGCTTCCTCACTGGAGCCTCTGTTGGCCGTTCCCTCGGGGTTACGGGGGGAGGGCAGTTTCTCTTCTCCCCCTTCATTAGCAACAGAGGCGCCTTTGTGTTAATCTCAGTGCTAATTCTGGGGCTCTTAAAAGTCCTTTGCGGCTGCGTTTATTATCAGCCCCTCATTAGCATTCTGTGCTGCGCTGGAAGGGCCGGGAAGCGGCCGCCGGTAGCCGGTGGGTGCGGAAAGTCGGGCGCTATGGTCGTGGTGCTGGAAAGCAGAAATATTCAGGGGGCTGCAAGGGAAGTCGGGATGATTTGCCTTTTTCTTTTTTTAATAAAATGCATATGCAATAACAGTACGTTCTTGTTTTTTTTTTTTTTTCTTTTTTTTCTCTCACTCTCTCCTACCTTTCCTTTACTCTAATTTTYGACATCTTGAATCAGTGATTGGAAAATACAGTCAACTTCCAGACTCAGGTACGGTGTATAAACGTGTCTGCGTTATGCTCCCACTGGGAAGGGTAGATCTGAAGGGGATGCATCTGGGCATGTGGAGCCTCTCGGTGTAAAGTYGCCTCTGTGTAGCGTCAGGCCAGTGTCCGGAGGTCCCCGGTGGTTATTTTTAGATACAGGACAAGGCTTTCCCAGAAGTGCCTGACTCTCCCTCTCAAAGGGAAGTTGCCCAATTTGACCTTTTCCATAAAGGCGTGAGATGCCAAAATCCCTTCTGCAAAGGGGACCCAGGCACTTTTGGAAATGCTTCCTCAGGCACCTTATCCCCTCCTGCAGCGCAGCACCAGCAACGCGGTGGCCACGGGTCAGCAGACTTGTGGTGCATTGCAAGAGGGCCAGAGCCAGGCCTTTCACCATAGAAATTGCTGAATGCACATCAGAAGCTGTAACGTAACAGTTTCCAAGTCCCTTTGCTCTCTTGAGAGGTGATATGTTCAGCAAGAATAAAAGTAGGTATCACTTTTCATTAGATCCAAGCCAGAAAGTGAACCTGCTTCACATAGCGTGCTGGTAAATGTCCTTTCTCCAGGGAAATCTTGGGACTTGCCTTTAAGAAAGTGGGAGATGCTGTGTGGGAAGCTCCAGTCCTTTTCCCAGGACTCCTGTAAGGCAGGGCATGCTCCCTTCCTGCCGTGTAGTATCCCCTGTGAACAGCATGGCTTCTTGCTGGCCAAAAAGGGCCACCTGAGCTGGACTCTCTGAATCACGTTTTGTGCCCCTGCTCGTGACAGGAGGTGAGCGAGGAATGTGCCACTGGCCTGACCAGGTGACAATTTCCTTAAGCTCAAGTTAGATTTACTGGGGTTCCTCACAGAGCTTGATGGACACCATGCCTCTGAGAAGCCTTGCTACCCTTCAGCCATGAAATGACTGAGCAAACAGCATTTTTGGACACGGTGACTTAAAGGGTGACTTCATGGCCCTAGGCATCGTGTTTCCTCGCTCTGAGCTGTCAGGTGAAGTCTGTCAGACTGGGGGTTAAGACGGCCTTTGCAGACTGATCATTTGCAAAGGATTAGCATGGAGATGGGAACACTTTTTGGTTTTTTTCTCTTTTTTTGTTTTTGTTCCTCTTGTCCTGTGAGCCTCTCCGACGCTTAAGCCACTGAGGTGTAGCAGATGTTTGGCAGCTTGATGAATGCTGCCTGCCTCCACACGTGGGAGGGAAGTGCATGGTGCCTAGAAGACTGCCCAAGGATGTGTTTGCTCTTGGGTTTTACCTTCTTGTGGTGGCCGGGCATAAATAATTCAGAGATCATTGCCATTTTTGGCATGACATTATGTTTTTTTTCATGTGTGTTTATGTCTTGGGTGCCTGGGGAGTGGATATTATAAATACCAGGTTTAAACTAGTATTACAAAAGTGACTCAAATTCCACTTTAGGGTGAATGAGTAACATAAAACTGTGTTCTTGTTTTCTTCCCTGCTAATTTGGCCTCCTTCTCACTTTTTCTGCACATACTTGCCTTGACAGGTATGAGTGACAGCGTCAAAGACAAATTCTCCACTGCGTTTTCCATTGTGGGTATGTTTTCTTCGCATGCCGTTGGAAGTCTCAGCGTATTCTTCTGTGCTGAAATCACACCCACAGTAATCAGGTGAGACCTCGGAGCCTCCTCTTTAAGGACTAGGGAAGAAATTATCCTCATTTTAGTGGCACCTGGCTGATAGGGGCTGCTAACACGTTTTACAGGAGGAGAAATGTGCAATTGGAGACCACACAGTAATTTCTGGGCAGCTCTGTAATTTAATGTCTCTGCAGTCAGTCTGCCTAAGTAAATGTCTGTCTGTAGACAGGGAGGACTTGTTTGTCTTGCATGAGGACGGCTCCGTCCCATCCTGATGAATTTKGGCAGGCCAATCACCCTAAGAATTGCTTTTCTTAGCAGTGAGGTATGAGCTTAGGTACTTTGCTGGTACTTAGGTACTTTGCTGAATGAGATCCTACAGCTGAGCCACTTTCCTGGGTATTTCCTGGGTTTTCACAAGCAGTACCCATGTGAGTTTGCCACTTGATATTAAAAGTGAGACTCACACGAATCTGCAGAAAAGGATACAGGAACAAGCAGTTCTGTACCTCTCTAGTGTGGGTTATTCRGGCCTTCAGCAGCAGGAAAGCACTGCAACCTGCAGTGCTGCATACATGCTCTTGGCATGTATGGGTGCTTCTGCAGCCCTGTGCCCCCTACAGCACCTGTGTTTCTGTCTTAACTTCAGAGTCCTGCTCTACCTCTTAAATCATCAGGTTTTCCTTGCACCCAAGTCTACATTAGCAGAGGCTCAAAGATTTTCTAAACAGGAGTTCTTGCCTGCTGTGCATTAATGGAAATCAGGCAGATGATCTTCTGTGCAGAGTTGCCCATAAAACGTCTTTGTAATGTCAGGTTTCTGTGCTGTTTTATTTAGTCACTGTTATCTTTCACGGCACACAGGCTGTGCTTGTATTTTCTGGATTATGCTTTCAGCAGTGCCACAGCAATTCGGGAGTCTGCCCTCACTCCTATTGAATTTCCCAGGAATGTAGGTCGCACTGGGGGGAGGGAGAAAGGATAGYGGGAAGAGAAGTGGATTGATCTTTTTGCAAATTACATACCTTTTTAATAACCTCACAAAAGTATTATAGCAAAATGGTTGAGTAGCCAGAGTCTCCTTCATCCCTGTGGCCTTTTCTTACAGGCTCTCTGACTTGGTGAATGTATTTTACAGATAGCATTATTTCCACAGGGAAAGGGAGTGTTAGTGCTGAGGAGATTGTAAAGCTGCCTGAAACACTAACAGCTATTTACTCATGTTGTGTGGGTCAGGTTGGTCTTGTTTATGTGCGTTTAATTTTCTCCACATCTTTGCTTGAAAGACATATAGATAAGGAATGGGCCAAGCAAACAAGAAGAGAAGCTGCCAAGTAGAGTCAGATGTGCAGTGTGAACTTAGCAAGCTTTTCACTTAAATCCCTTAACATTGTTACAGGGAAAAGGACAAAATACTGGTCTAGGAACTAAAATTCTGTGTCTCCCTGACCCTGCTAGATGGCATAAGTTAAACAACAGCCTTAGGATATGCCTTAGGCTTTCCATTTATAAATGGGAGTTATGACACTCAATAATTTGGGGATCTGTACTGCAAAGTTCTTGATAAGATCCGTTCAGTGTTATAATTATGAGGTGGCCATCAGGGCGAAACTTAAACACGCCTGAGGCAGATGTGTGGTTAAACAGTCTGTGTCTTGCACTTCAGAAGACTCTGGCTGCTTCCTCRTAACTTATTTTCCAAGATATTGCTAAGCACAAGTGCTGTGCTGGAGAGTGCCAGTCCCATCTACCTGGGAGTTCAGTGAAGAGCTCCTTCCAAGCATCATATTCCAGGACTGACTTAAAGTCAGTCTTTCAGTCTTTTTTTTTTTTCATCTCCTCCTAAGAACTGACTTTAATAATTGCCTGAATGTCCTAAGCAACCTGGTCCAAAGTCCATGCTGACCCTGTTTTGAGCAGGAGGTCAGACTAGATGCAGCCTCTAAATTCTTTCCAAGCTGTATAATTGTCTGACTTTTTATAATGTGAACCATCTTGTGTTCCTATTTGCTCAAAATGGACAAATGACCAACATGAGCTAGGATTAAAGTGTCTCTGTTCTCCTCAGTAGTGCTAGAGGGGAGATATTCTTCCAAAACTTTAAGAGGTTTTAACTTTAAGTAGAAGGTTTAGCCTGGTTCAAGTAAATAAGCTGAGTGGATATTTTGCTACTGCCTTGAAACTACAGTGGTATTGCAACTGTTCAAATCTCTGGTAAATGAGAAGAAATTATCCCCTATGAATAGGGAGGTCTTTCTGAGGACAACATTTTGGACCAAGGCCCTTTTGGGATTTGCACRTGTCAGGATTATGAGCCCAGGCAGTCTCATAAATGACACTTGCACGCTGTTCCTGAGCTGGTTTGCTAAATGAACGTGAGCTCAGCCTGCTCTCTAGCGGTGCCACGGATGATGGCAGAAGCCAAGGGGTGGCTGCTGTCATTTAGGGGCCTTACTGTGTGCGAAAGGGAGCTGGTGGAGGGTGTGCTGCACGTGCCATGGCAAGGCTCTGCAACAGCTGCTTCTAAAACCCGCCTGAGCTCCCTCTCCAGCTTCGAGTTACAATTTAGCCATAGCAAACACTATGTCAGTTGTTCTTSTAAGTGACTTGCCACGTGTCTAAGAGACCAGGTTGCTCTTGTGTGTAACTTCATGAAGTTGCAGGGAGGCCGACTGCTTAGTGAGTGCAATCCTACATTTCCAATTTAGGAGCTACATTCCTAAATCGCCAGTAGAAAGCTGTTAAATTTTTAATATAGGCTTTTGCAATGTTTGGGGAAGTCATGTCTGTGAAAGATGCTTTACTAACTCTAGAGAATTATAAGATACATAAATGAATTTTTGATCCAGTCAGTGCCTAAAGTTTTTTTTTTTTTTTTCCCCAAACCTGCCCTTGTTGTCCTATAGCTGCCAAGTAGTAAGTAGTAAAGTTTGAAAAGGACTTGGTGAGGATCACCGAAGAGTTTGTGGGAAGCCCCTGTATCGAGGAGGGGCAGTAGAAGCTGTGAGACGTGTGTGGCCTGGCAGATACCCCTGGATGGAGAGGACAGGGTGGTAATGGTTCAGCTAACAGGGAGACTCCCCAAACTCTCCTCTCCTGGCAAAGTCTTTGGAAAACGAACGACTAGCTATTTCCTTGGAAGCACAAGAGAGGCTGCTTGCAGAGCTGAATTATCAGGAACAAGCACTGAATGCAGCGTGCGCAAGCTAATTCATTCCTGTGCCTAAGAGGGGTTTATTTTTAAAGTTTTTTAAAGCTTTAATAGGTTTTCACACTTTTTTTGATATGCCTTTGAGTGATCTAAATACGTTGGTGCTTTACATTAATATTTAATATTTGTGCCATTTAATATTTGTGCCACATTTACATTTAATATTTGTGCCGTAAAGAATACTTTATAAAGTTACCTGGTTATATACCTGGTATATAAAGTACCTGGTTATAATTAAAGTATATGGCCAATATTAACTTTTCATCTCCCTTTGAAGAGTCTCAGAAATGCAGCAGGAAAACAAGAATGAAGTGAGGCACCTAGACACCTGTAGAGTCAATAGGGCTCAAAATTAAATCCCAAATCCTTGGCTTGTTCTGTTTTCCTACCTGCTAGCCTTGTTATCTGCATTTTGAAAAGAGTACACGTTGTTACAGCAGCCATGTGTTAAGAGGTTCAAACCACAACATATTTTATAGAGGAAGTTCTTCCTTAATGTTTGGTATTGTAGCTTGAGGCAATGGAGAGTGAAATCGCATCTCCTGCCTCCGCTGCGGTTGACACCAGGTACTTCAGAGGCAGCAAAACCACTTCTGCACCTCGCAGTGGACACGCAGCTTCCTGCTGTATCTTGGCTAGATTGGAGCAGTCTGACATGCTAAGTAAGCTGTGGTTTGTCCACACTGAATATGAGGTACTTGGATACAGGAATTTTCTACAGCGCATCTAGATCAATCTATCTATCTGTCTGTCTGTCTGTCTGTCTGTCTATCTACATATTCTTGTGATGCAACTTCAGAGGGAACCTGCGTGGATACAGTTATATTAGTTAAGCATGAGCAGGTATTTACCTTTCTATTTCCCCACACAGAGGCAGATAGGCAGTAATGAGCTGCAGTGCTCCCACGTGGTGGAGCTGCAGGTGATGATCTACAACAGCAAAGCGAGAAGCAAGCCCCTGCCAGAGTAGCAGTACAGTGAGAGAGCTGTGTGCAGAACAGGTTTGCCTTCAAGACTTCAGAGCCCTGCTCCATGCCAAACAGGACGGTCGGGGCACTTGTAAGGGCTGATGGTGGAGACTGGTGCTGCTGCCGTGCTGCTGGACCCCAGCAGCCTGCACCGTGGTGGCCCCAGCTTGCTAATGGCTCGCCCAACAGCAGCATAACCTGCTGAGCTGTGGTGGCTGAGGCCCATGAGGTGCCCTCGTGTCGCAGAGCACATGGTGCTTGGTGGACCTGGAGGCAGACCCAGGTGGGACACGTCTTGAGGGAGCTGGCCCCTTTGCACTGCGTTGGAGGGAAGCAGGGGCTGTGGGAGCGGGAGGCTGAGCTGAGTTGAGCTGAGCTGAGCTGAGCTGAGCTGAGCTGTGCTCTGCTTGCAGGGGCGGCGGGCTGGGCCTGGTCCTGGCGAGCGCCGGCTTCGGGCGCCTCACCGCCCCCATCATGGAGCTCCACAACCAGAAAGGCTACTTCCTCCACCACGTCATCTTCGCCTGCTGCACCCTCATCTGCATCATCTGCATCCTGCTCCTGCCCGAGAGCAAGAACCAGAACCTGCCCGAGAACATCCCAGACGGTGAACATTACACCCGGCAGCCCCTGCTGCCGCACAAGAAGGGGGAGCAGCCCCTGCTCCTGACAAACTCTGAACTCAAGGATTACTCCGGCCTCCACGACTCGGCAGCCGTGAGCGACGGCATCTCTGAGAACACCACTGCCAACGGGATGAAGTCTATGTAGCTGGGTGGATTTTCCTTCCCCTCCTTTCCCCCCCGCCACTTCCCTTTTCCTTTTTCGTTTTATTTGATGCCGTTGTGCAGGAGGAGCAGCACTTTGGGTGAGGGTGTTTTGCACAGGTTTTACAAAACCCGGGGCAGAACAGATGCAGACTCGGGAGAATTCAATTCTGCTGCTGCTAAAGCGACTTGTAGGACTCTTCAACTGGTGTGCAGATTGCTTGTGAAAAGGTTTTTGGGGAAAATACTCATCTGAGAAAAGACCTGGCTGGAGATAGCCCTTCAGAACTCTTTTGGGGTTTTTTTTTCCTGCCATTAAATGTGTATATTTATTTTGATTTATTCTCAAGAAGCACTTTATTTCCTTTGCCTTTCATAAATCACAAAAATGAAGCCATCTTCTTTTAAGAGGTGCARCCATTCCGAGAAAGAAACCGTGGGGGGAGGGGGCGGGGTTGTTTTCTGTTTTGTTTTTGTGTTTCTCAAAGGAAGGAAGTGTCCACTGCAAAGTTGAACTGACCGTCGCGTAGACTTGTACAACGTTCTTCTGCCTGTCTAGAAGGTCAAAGCGCCCAGGTTGCCTGCTGTGTTTGTATACAACAAAAAAGAAAACAGAGAAAAAAAAACAAAAACAAAAAAGCAAAACCTGTTGTGACTCAAACTCTGACTGCGTTTTAGGCAGCTTTATATTTGGTTATTTTAACCCGTGTGCATTTAAAAGTTACTTTCCTACTTAACACCATTTTTTTTTCCCCACCAAAAGGAGTGGAGAATCCTACCCTACCCAAGCTGAGGTTTCAATCTCCATCAGCCTTATGCATTTTAGGAGTCCRTTCATCTATTTTAGACTGTTCTTGCTGGAGATTAATAGCAATGTAGACTGTGTAAATGATTTGACCAATGATGAAAAAAAAAAGTTGAGTTTTCTTCTAGGAGGTCCAGAATCTTTGTCTGACTGGTCCAGGAGAAGAGCATAAGACCAGCAAGGACAAATAGGAAGGAGCACTGGCTATGACCTGTACTTGTATTTCCAGAGGCAGCATAGCTGGGAATTCCACTCCTGAGAGATGAGAGTCCTAGCATTGCCCTGCCTGTTTTTAGAAACAAAGCTGTTGATTTCCATTTAAGTGGACAAAAATACTTAAGTGACTATCGGAAGGGAATGAATTGATAGCCAGTGAATAAAGACTCAAGGTCTGCCGCTGGCTGTCTTGGGGCTTTCGGAGATGTTTTCTGTTTCTGACCCAAGGATATACAGCAAACTCACTGTATATTTCCTCACTTCCCCAACTGCTATTTTAGGATTTCTTAAAGAAAAATCTACTTAAATTGGATCAATCCTACCCTATGCTAAGCAAAGTGAAGATGCACTTTCCCTCTTGCTGTACAGATGCCCCTTGGATAATAGCTATTTTCTCTTCTAGTCCCAAACCAAGCTGTTTGTTTTGCCCATTGGGTTTTGGTTCTCACTGCGCTGCTGCCGTGAGGATCGTGTTGGGTGCAAGGGCTTTCCAAGCCAGCAGCCCTCTCGCGCTGGCCTCCCTTCGCTCCCTCCCTCTTTCCCTTTCCCCCTCAGGCCACACATTTGTGATTGCCCAGTAGTGCGGACGTGTAAGTGAACCGAGCAGCAGGATGCCGGTGTTGTAGCGCGTGTCCATGCCACTGCCACTTTGTTCGGTGTGCATCCTGAATCCATAAGCATGGGAAGCGCTCGTGGGCGCTTTTCCTCCCCGGCCCTCCCTCCCYTGTCCTCCTTTGCTGTATATATTGTCTATTAACTACTGTACCTAACAACTTCCACCCTGCGCTAGGCCGCCGCTGTCCCCTCACCGTCCCCAGGAGAGCAGGGGGATGCTCCCTGGCCATGCAGTAAGTAGCACAGCCCAAGGGGACAGGCAGACCTGCAGGAGCCACGGAGATCGTGGTGGCGTTCAGAGAAACGATGTTGTCCTAAAGCTGCTGGGTTTTGCACAGAGGATGTGGACACGTGGGTTCTTCCTGAGCCTGGTAAGAAACACTGGACCAGTTGATGGTAATTTTGCCCAAAGTTACACTACTGTTCTTTCACCTTTTTAGACTTGCTGTGATGGCGAGAGCCCAATCTTCCTTACACTCAAGCTTTACTGCCTAGCCTAAGAGTGGCCATTTCTCCCTTTTTGTCCCATGCTGCGATCTTTTCAGTCTGTGCTCACCTAAGAGAAAAAAAGAAAATAAGGCCTTCCCAGTTCCTGCGGTATTCATGTGCCAAATCCGTGCAATAYCTCTTGCCTTTTATGCTTGTTATGAGCCACACAGCGGCGGGAAAAGGCGGGGTTCCCAGGGAAACTGGAGAAGCCGAGTGAGTCCTGACGGAAGAGAAGGGGCCTCGAGGCGGAGCAGGGGCGCGGAGCCGTCGCGCGGCGCCCTGCGGCCTGTGGCGCCCTTGGTCGCCGCGYGCTCCGGCCGCAGCGTGAACCCCGGGAATCCCATAGGCCCCTCCACGATCCCACTGAACCAGCTGCTCGCGGTCCCGGCGTGCTCACCGCCGTTGTCCACAGCGCTTTGTMGTTTCCTATTCTGGTGTTTGCTCTCCGATGACAGGCAAGCCCGAGGAAGAGAACAGTTGTTTACACATATCAACATTAATGTAATAAACACATGGGGTGACAGGAACACTTGGCAGTTTTATTTTTTTATTGTTCTTACACAATTGCCTTGAGTCGCTGCTTGTATTATTTTTTTTTGCCTGAAACCAGGCACTCGGTACTGAGCTTTTGCAATATGAGGTATCCCAACCGCTCCAGTCTGACTCTGTCACGAGACAGAAACAAATGGTCTGTTGCTTTGTCACATGCATTATTTTGAAAGCTTCCATTAAGCGCGTCTAATGACAGCAAACGTTCAGAGGGGAAGCCAGGTACTAACTGATACAGCGGGGCAGAAAACAATCTAGTTTTGTAACGTGCTTTGCCTAGTCCTTTGGCTGAATGGTGCTCTGCACATCAGACCGTCGCTCCCTCGTCGCGTCTCCTCCGTAGCCATCACAGCAATCACTTCTCTCGGGTGGCTGTTTCTGGTCACTGCAGCAGAGGAACCTTTCGATGCTGTCCTGTCCATTTTGGCTTTTATTTTTTCAATGAACCGTCAATAACCTCTAGGTCCATTGGTGGATTTYTTTTTCTTTATAATTTACCATTTAAGGGCTTTCTTCCTTTTGTGTAATCTTAAAACAAAATGTGAAGGTGATGTTATGCTTGATCTGGTTTGTTTTCCTTTTCAGTTTTCAGTGATGCTTCTGTTGCCAGACACACTGCAAACAGTGTGGACAAAAGTTTCATCTGTTTGGAAGTGTTTGTGGCAACTCTGACCGGGGTCTGTGTGATTTACGTTTCATTATTTTTGTCAGGCAGTTTTTGTTTTTTGTTTTATGGAAGTATTTCACTTAATTGTTGCCACTTCCTGGAGCCAAACACTAAAGGTCACCAAATTGGAAGCAGAAGTGCCATTAAATGAACTCTGTGAATGTCAAGTCAAGTTGCGCCTGTAGCTGGCACATAAGACAACACTAGGAGTGTGGGGTTATCACCCCCACTATAACTTTTTTTAAGAAAAATAAATGACAAACCTCATTTTAAATGTATTGTGTAAAATGTTTTGGGAAAGGAGTACAGTGTGTTATGTCTAGTGGGTGAGACTTGCCTCCCCATTTCAGTTTCTGATGAAGTTTTAAAGAATTGTGTTACTGTACGTTCTGATCATGAATAGTCTGGTGGTGCTTCTTCATAGCACAAGCTTAAAGCAAGTACTGAAAACAGTCTTACAAGCTAAATGTCTGCATGATGTTACATCTGTTGTACCTACTGAAAAACTTTGTATGTAAATGTACAGAATAAAAAGATGTTGTCTCATCAACATCTCATCTTTGCTTCCCCTTTGCCTGCCGTCTCCCTCAGTGACYTGTGAAACAGCCCAACTGCAGCCAACGTCACTTCAACCTGAGCATTTCTATCCRCCTCTACAAACACAACAGATTTTAAAGCAAGCAAATGAAATCAGCATATTGATTTTTAACTAATTTTCCTTTACATTCAGTTACTGGAGAATGATTCTATTTGCTGTCTTGCATAGATTAAGAGAGAAAAAGAAGCCTCCAACAGCTGCTTTTCTTTACTGCGAACTTGAACAGAGGCCAAGGACTGGCCGCTGTTCTTCCAGGTAAGGGCCCTGTGCTCTCATGTCAAATACACAAGGCTGAAGCCACAGTGTGTTTGAGACTCCTTCAGTCCTGAGACTGACTGTAGTTAGGGCTTGTATCTTCTACATCATCTATTTTTGCCTACAGTTTTCAACTGTTGACGATGGCCACAACAAGGTAAGTTCTGATCCATGCTTTTGTAGGTGGATAGTGCAGTAGCCTACGAAGAGCTGGTCTAGCAGTGCAATTTGTCTGTTTCTACCAGAAGCTTTTTTCTGCATCAGATCTTGATTTGTAAGGAAAAACCCTTTATTTTGCCCCGATCCATCAGTTTGCGCTCCTCAACGATCCTCCAAATTACTAGCACTAATAGGTAGTATGAGACAGCACAGCGTGCATTGACCTCAACAGACCCCCACTGCTCCACTGGCTGTCCCCTTTTTTTGCATGGCTAATTTGCAGTTGCTGAGCTTATTAAAAGAAAACGGCATGCAGCATGTTCAGCAGACACTGAACTTCACCTTAAAAGGATATCTATTCACTAAAAGTATGTCTACAGCAACAGCAACAGAGTGCTCGGTGGTAGTAGTGGCAGCTCTGTTTTTTTTTTTTTTAACAAATATATTCAGTTTACATGTAAGATGGTCTTCTAGTAGCCCTACAGCATTATCAGTTGCTCCAAGAGCCTTCCACTCTTCCTGGTGTTCAAGAGATGAAGGAAAGCCTGTGTTTCGCACCAGCACTGCAACCACCAGGACCCAGAAAGTCACAGCAAGATGATGCCTGTTTGCTGTCACAGCGTTTCAATGTTTGATGTTCAGTGTTTAAAAAAAAAAAAAATTCCCCCCTCATTCTTAAAATCAAAGATAAAGCTTTTTGGGGTGTATTCACAGGTTTTCACTTGAACACTGTTTGAATACTAATACACAATAAATTAACTGTACTGTTGGAATTTGGAAAACATTTCCTGACCAATTCCTGTACCGAATGCAGGTCAGACTCTGGTTGTACAGATTCTTACAATGTTCTTAACTTGCAGTTTATTTCAACATTACAAGTCTATCCTCTACTTACAGAGCAGCAAACTTGGAGAAGAAAATCCAGGTCCAACATTGCAGTATTTAATAATAAATGCAAATTCAATCACAGCAATAGAAATCAATTTTTCAAATTATTAACTTAATGTCAGTGTAGAAACTGCACTCAGTTTTTCTGAAACAAAAGCCTCAAGTTAGTTTGCACGGATGCACAGTCAGAACTTCTCTGGAAAAGCCATCATTTCTTCTTTGATTCTGTTTTCTATGAGCAAGCTGAAATTGCTGTCTGTGTTTTGAAGGTTGTAGCTGACAAATATCTGTTTTTTGGTCTTGCTGGCTAAAACRCAAACCAGAATATTCATCGGTAGTTTTATCTTGAACAAAATTGATGATAAAGCAAGCATTTTATAAAGATAGATCATGCAGATTTTTACAGCAACCTGATCTGGAAAAAAAGGCAATGCTGTAAGAATAGAACAAGTGTTGTCATGTCAAGCAAAACTATTCAATCTATGGAAAAGGGCAATGTGAGCATTGGGGCTATCAGTTAGTTTTTGGCCTAATGCAAAACCCATTACAGTTGCTGAAAAGACTATAATTGCTTTCTGTGGATTTTGGAAATTTCTTAAATATGATACTGTTTAAGTGAAACCATAGACTATACAGTAACCTTATCACTGAAATTATTTTATGAACTGGCAAAGTCTGTGCTATGAAGGAAAAATACACAAGAAAAAAAACTATACAAGAACATAATTAGGCCACGATTAAAGTGGTTTTTTAAAGTGAATCCCTAAACATCTCCCAAAAGTGCGGATCTCTTTACTCAGTCTAAACCTGCTGACAAGGATTTCTTTGTTTCCTTTAACCTTTATTTCCATGCTATCCACAGGCTCTCCAGAAGGCTGAGCAGCTTGGTTGAAAGGCATCAAACTAGTCGAGTTCTAGGTGACTGTAATGACAAATACCTAGAGAGACATGCTATAAAGTAAGAGCTTGTCTTCCATGACAGAGCTAATTAACAGTGACAAAGATAACGTCCACTGGAGCACGAAGGCTTAATTATCATCGCAGAATAGACAACATAAAGTCTCTTATAAGTAAAAATCTAAATAGGATTTCTCTTTTAACATAATAATTTTAACATAATAATACATAAATGTTGTAGCTCTTTTTAATAAACTGTGCAAACTAAGCACAAAGGGAAAACAGACAGAGAATTTAAAATGAGTTGTGTTAAAGGACTAGACAAGTGGTGTTTTGCTCACAAGACAGTCCTGTCAGAGACTTAGCTGCCACTGACACTCCCAAGGAGCAATCAGGATGTGCTACTGAATGTTCAAAAACAGCATCTGAATTTTAAATTTTCAAATAGTTTCCAGAACTCCTACTATCTCAGGCCATCTTAAACCGAAAATTCAACTACAGAAAACCTATATATGTATGTGTGTGTATATATATATATATATATATAAAAAAAAAAGATTTTTTTTGCTTGTATATATATATATAGTTTGTATAACTTATACTTTTTTCACCAATTCCTTTGATGCATTTTCTTCATGCAAATCAACTTATTATCATTCTCTATTCTAACAGGCCACCAGTGAGGCTTAGTGAGTAGAGAGAGCCCCAGTGGGCTGCCTCTGAAACTCAAATGCTCATTTGCCTTTTTAACATTTGGCACTACAAAATATAATGCAGCTTGTTGTTATGACTGCAAAAATTAGTGTTTGGCACCAGATTTTGTGGTACAAAGAAGCATGCTTTGTAACCACTCGTGCTTCATCATCATGCCCTAAATAAATGCAATGCTAATTCCAAACTAATTAATACCATTATCCTATCTAATGAATCTACATCCTACACTGCAGAATCAAAACCTAACGTTGTAATCACATTTGTGTAAGATCTGATTTAGTCTCTTGAATGATGTTCCAGTTCTTGGGAACACTATGACTCCCTCAAAGTTGTGTGCACAGAAGTGAGCTGCCAGTGTGGGAGACTGGCTTTAATGGGTAACTCAAGCTCTTCTGTTCTCACTTCTCTTGTAGCTTCAATTGGACAAGTGAGAAGGACAGAGGAAGATGGCTCAGATACAGACCATGTCCTTTGGACTAGAACCAAAAGCCAAGCAAGGGTGCATCTCGCACAGAAAGTTCAAAACAAATAGCAGAAGATGCTTAAAGCACACAGGCAAACAAACCAAAGATACAAAGGGGCATTATTCTCTGAGGATGAAGAGTGACTGTCCTCCAGTGTCAAGCAACTCCTATCAAGTTTCAGTAACAAAAACAAGCTAGCTGACACTAATAATGAAAATGAGGTGGGGAGGTAAAAATAATTCATGCCTCTATTGAGGAAAAAAGAAAAAGGTTGATCCAGGCAGCCTCTTGATCACTGCAAGAACTGACATGTGAAATAGCAAGTTATTACAAATTCTAGCTATGGAATCAGTCATAAATCTTCTGTGGATATAAAATAGCTCTTCAGTACTGAAAAAGATAGGAGTGGGTGGAAAGAACCTGGACAACTTTGACCTCATAGCTGGACTGCAGTGCTACACAAAAGCTTACAATATGATTCTGAAGAAAACCATGATTTAGAGCAGGAAACCAAATGAAAGTGGAATAAACTGTTACAGGATTTATCCAAAGTTAACCACGTTTGACTAGTTTTATAGTTTTACTAATGCATTTCTTAAGCATAATGCCCTAATCACGATAGCAGTCAGGACATAGCGCCCATAATGAAGATGAGCACACAGATCATCAAAAATTCTGCATATATTTCAGCTGAAGCAACCCAAGTGAGACAAAATGAACAGTGCATCAAGACCASGGCATTTAAGACCCAGAAAAAAAAAATGTTTTAGAAAGCCACCAGTTGTAGTTGCCCCTGTAATTTGGTAYATGCTTATGAGCCATGTTTGTGATCTGCCATCAGAGATACGAGATATGGGAAATTGAATGCCAGAGAGCCTGGTTTCTGAGCCTGAATGCTYGGTCATGCACTAGTCATACCAGGACACTCTTAGGCGGGCCAGGACAGAAGACACGGGCTGCACAGGTCTAGCAAACACCGGCATCTGCGGGAACATCAGCCCTTCTCCAGACTCAACTTTCCACAATGCAGAGGCTTCTGGGCCCCAGATGTGCCGAGAATCGGGCTGATCTTCACGCCAAACGCACGTGATCCCACTAAGGCCATCCCACCCCGGGCACGCTAGGCCAGGCTTAACGGAGGGTGGCCCGGGCCCCGCGCTGTGCAGCACCCACCTAGACGCCGGGCCAGGGATACGCCAGCCGGGTCCGAGGGGTCCCCCAGGAGCGACGCCGACACGGGGACGCTGTCCTGCAAGCAGAGCAGCGCCACCATCATCATCATCATCATYGCCGCCACCACCACCTCCACGCACCCTTATCCCCACCATTGCCACCACCACCTCCATGTCCCCCGCCGTCCCCGCGGTCCCCGGGCACTCACGCGGGGGCTGCACATGGCCACGGCGAGGCTGGCGAGCGCGGGCGCGGCGCCCACCCACAGGAAGAGCGAGTCCCGCAGCCGCATGGCGTGGAAGTGCACGAGCTGCTCGCCCAGCTGCCCGCTGAAGTCGTGCACCACGATGCCGCCCGCCGCCTCCATGGGCGCCGCGGCCCGCACAGGCCTCAGCCGGCGCCGCCCGCCCCGGTGCCCCACGCCGCTTCCCGGGGGAGGCGCCAGCTCCCGGAGCCCGCCCCGCGGCCCGGAGCCCAGCCCAGAGCCCGCCCCGGAGCCCGCAGCCCGCCCCGGAGCCCGCCCCGCGGTACCGCCCCGCACCCGGAGCCCGCCCCGCGGTGCCGCCCCGCAGCCCGGCCCCGCAGCCGCTCCAGGCGCGGGCAGGGCCGCGCACCTCCCCGCTCTGCCCGCCCCGCTCCGCGCGCAGTCCCGCAGCGCACCCCGCTTTCCACGCGCAGCTCCCCCGTTTGCCAGGACACACAGGCAGACACGCACACACCCTCGGAGCGCACACACACACAACCCCAGCGCACAGCCCCCCGCGACACACCCCCCCCGTGGGCCGGCGCACACTGCCCGTGGTGCAGAGCCCCCGCACACACCCCTACAGCCCTGCCATGCACAGCCCTCGCGTGACACGCACACGCTGCGCGCACCCCCGCCACGCACAGCGCCTGCCCGTGTACAGCCCGCCCGAGGCACAAGCCCACAACGCACACCCGGTGCACACCCCCTCCGACACACACACACACGCACACACACACACACACACACGCACACACACACACACACACACGCACACACTGATGCCGCCTCTCCGCACACCCGCATCCGCAACGTGCGGGGGGGCGCGGAGGAGCCCCCGGTCTGACACAGGGGAAGGGGCAGCACCGCGCTGCGCGGAGCGGAGCGGCGGGAATTAAAAGCTCCTCCTCGGGCGTGAGTTCTGCGCTTCCCTGTTCCCCGGAGCCACTGGAAGCGCCGGGGGGACAGGGCTTTCCCGCAGCTGCACCCGCGGCCGGAGCAGTGCGGRGCTCGGGGCTCCTTAACGCGGGCAGCGCGGAGGTGAGCGCCGCAGCCTGCGTGATCCTTCCTCCCCGGCCAACAAGCGAGCTCGCGGACTATTTGTAACTAGCATTTCCTTTGTCTCTGGTGCCACCCGAATTTCTAGAAATCAGAAAGCAAATTTCTGAATATTTAAAGCTCATTTTCATGTAGAAGAAACTGGGGAGGAGGGAGAGAAGGATAAATGGATAATTTTTTTTTTTCCTCTACATTTTCCTCCACATTTCTTTGGATACATGACAAGAGGCAAAATCCTTGAGCTTTGCCAGTTTCTGCCTGTGCTGCTACAACAGCGCAAAACCCACAGGAGTGTCTGAGCCCTCCTCCACTCCGTGCCCTGACATCTCCGCACGGCAGTGGGCTCTGGGAGGCCTCACCAGCCACCTCCTCTGCCCTACATTTGTCACTCGGTGCTTGCACAAAGCGCTGCAGGTATCTGGTGGCTGCCTCCAGCCATACCTGCCCTGCACTTGCCAGGAGCRGTGCGGAAAGGAATAACAGTGCCCTGGATAAAACATTTCCTAGAAAGCAGGCAGGTGATGGCAGTAAGATTCCTTAGGGTAACCATGTGGGGGTGATGTGGAAGATCAACCCCAGGTTCTTTCCATGAGGGGAAGGCAACAGGCACTTGAGGGGTGCACATCATCTGAGTTGCTTCAGAAGGACCTTCACAGTGAGATAAAACAGCCCTTCTGACTGTTTTCCCTCCACCATAAGAGAGGCAAGGGTGAAAGGCAGGACCTGCATATCTGTACAGATAATTATTTTTTCACATAAGTAAATCTTTATGTGTTCAGAGCGAGTTCCTCTGCTACCTCAGGGCAGGGCTGGCTGCTTCAGTGGAGTCCTAGTGAAGGGCCTGATCCCCAAAAGGTCCAGCCTGCCAGCTTTCTTCCTCCCCTGGGWACGTGGGCCTCATTCATGATAAATGTGTATTTAAATGACCCGCRGGATTGAGGTGAGAGTCCTCCATTCCCTTCCCTGGTCTTCCCACRTCAAATACAAGCTTTTTTTTTGTGGCTTCCAAGGCTGTCTACAGGTTTGCTCCTCCCTCTGGGGGAACTGTACTTGCTGCTTGGTGTCCTTATCTATTCCTCTCCTGTTCATCAGGAGACCTCTCAGAAGCTGGGGGCAGCCGTTACCTTCCCAGCAGCTCTAAGACCTACAGACCTTGGYGGTAAGTCCTGAGGCTCATCTGCATTTGAGCACTTCATCATATTCAATATTTTTCCATGAAGTGTCACTGCCACCTGTAGAACGTGTTAAATCCTTAAGCTCAGAAGAGGGAGAAGACTCATGTAGCAAACAAAACTGGACATAAGTGCTTCTGTTTGCAATGTAGCTGTGAAGAGTGGAGCTGTGCAGAACTAGACCATCAAGCGTGGGATGAACTTCCCAATTACAGAGCTGCAAGGCCACCCGAGCTCCTGCCCAGTTAAAGAGCGAAGAGACCCAGCAGCACACAACCCCGTTGCATTTCCTTTAATGCCCTTTTCTTTATTCTGAGTCCAGGAAAACTGCATCCATTATAGTTCTTACCCATCATGTGTGACACTAGAAGTAGCCTTTGGGACATTAGATAGTGAAGTCATCACAAAGCAGATGTAGCTGCCTGAGTGAGGCCCATCCGCCAGCAAGAGGATTTGGAAGAAAGGCACCTTCTGGGTTCCTCATTGTTTGGCAAGAGTTTTGTAGCCCACGGGAGTTACTAAACCTCAGGCCTGAGTGTCCATCCTCCCCCGTCTTCWCCAGTAGTCCTGATCCAGGTGCAAATCCGCCTGTCTGGGAACAAAGCAAGATGTAGAACACGTGATGAGGAACTGGGGTGTCACTGGGAGAAGCAAGTACTTTCTGCTTCCAAAACACATTCTGTGGCTTTGTTTCTGGATGAGTGAAGTGCAAATCCGACGTGTGGGAATACAACCAAGCATAAAAGTGTACCACTGAACACTCCGTGGATGTTCCAGTTTTCTGGCTTGTTGTTCTTTGCAGTTGGGGAATAAATGAGTGTTAAATAAAGCCTTGGGAAACCTCCAGCTGCACTGAGGAGGCTTCATGGTTGTCGCACTGTGCAGCACCAGACACGCTGCAGCTCCAGGCTTTGGGGGGACCAATTTATGTTGAGGCTTAGAGAGCGGTTTTAGATAAGCTCCTTTCAGTGGCACTGGTGGATTGCAAGGTCTTTTCTCCCTCCACACCAGCAGGGGACCTGTCCAGCTGAGTGACTTTGGTTTCTTTTCCCTGGGATTGTTTGTCAGCCGGATCAAGCCTCTGATCCCGCTTACCCTGGCACTGCTCACACACTGGTGCTGGTGTAGCCAAGGGCAGCACGAGCCTAGTGCAAGCAGGTGGGATGGGGACACGTGAGAGGCCTCCTTGTGCCGCACAGACTCTGTGGCTGGGCTATTCTGGCACCCCAAGCAGGCTTTAGCAGGGGGTGTCCCARTCCTGCTTCGTAGCGCTGTGATGATGGGTCAGTCTGGGGCACTAAACTGGCCAAAATGACTCCCTTTCCTTGGCAGGATCAGCAGAGCTCCTTGGGCATTCCCGGGCAAAGGGAATGGCGGTGTGGGAAGATGGGAGAGAGAGTGAACCAGCCCCTTCAGCAGCAGCAAGCTGTGAGGCTGCTTAGCTGCCGTGGGTGACTGTTCTGGAGCACCCAACGCTGGCCGTGGAGATTTCCTCCCGGGAGGTCTCCACTTTGATAAATATCACTCAGCCTCATTCTCAGGGAAGAGACAGGAGAGGAATTTAAGCTGGAGATGCCACAAGAATTGCAGAAACCTGTGCAACAGATGAGCGAACTTGTTCAAAAATCACAGCTTGAAAGACCTTGAAAGACTTGAAAGTTCCCCAGATCCGCACCGGGCGGATCTCACAGAGCACGGCAGCACCGAGGCATGAGTGCGGGGCTGCTCTGGGCCCCGAGAGGCCCGTGTCCAACACGGCACAGAAACAGCCCAGACTGCAGATGTCCATGTGGTTCCCGGCCTGCCAGCAGACTGCTGGGACAGCGGGAGCCTCCCTGCTCTCCCATGCTTAGCTCCTCCAAGCCCGTATCTTCACTGAACCTATTGGCACTTGGCTAGAGAGACCTTGTTCCATGGAAATCCAGTTTATTTCCAGAACACTCGGGGGTGCCGGATTTTTCCTTGGGGGAAACCTGTTATTTCTATAAGGTCTGTAGGACCCAATAATTCTGTTKGAATTTCTCTACGTGATGGAGGAGGGCTGAGGTGCACAGTGTCAGGGGGCTCTCCGACATATAGCTGTTGTGACCTACCACGAAGGCATTTGGTCTAGAAATCAGAACCATGAGGTTTTGCATCCGACTGGCCCTCAGACCTTATGCGAGCCCTTTCTGCTTTATTTCACTCATCCACAACCTGGAAGGATATAAATAATCCCTGCCTATCTCCCTATGATTGACTGGAAAGGAGTGCCCAAATAGCATCCTGCCCGTATAACATGCTACCCATGAGGAGCTCTGTGAATGCAGAATAAATCTCTTCTCTTTCAGAATGAGACATTTTCTTTTCTATCCTTTATGTGAGTCACTGGAGCAGCTTGTCTTGGATCTCTCGGAGCATTTGTGACACGTGGCTTCATAGCTGCCGGACAGGAGGCCCTAAAGCTGAGTGACTCATGGCTCCCCTCAGGGACAAGGGGGGTTTACGCAGCTGACTAGAAATCGTATTTCATACACAGACAGAATATTTCACTGTGGAGAGCCCTGAACCAGCCTACGAACACTCACTCCGGGGCACAAACCCCGTCAGCTGAACTGAGACCTGCAGGAGCAGCTGGCCATTTTGTAACTGTCACCTCCTTGGGAAGGGCCTTGGAGGAATGGGCAGGAAAACTCCATGGACGGGAGCTTTTGAAAGGCTGAGAAAATCCAGTCCATGTGGAATAATGAGTGAAGGGGGGAAAAAAAATATGGAGAAATCCTTCCCTTTTGTGTTGCTGAACTGGATGCCTGGATGGCACATGACATAGAGCACACCTGACAGATCCTGCTGCTTCCCTGTCCTTGGGCCACCTCGCTGGCATTTGTGACATGCTCAGGATATACTATGTGC